GGACTTCATTCTCTCTTTCAGCCCCACCCCCAACCTCTTCTCCAGCCTTCTTTTCAGGCTTTGCCTGGGCAGCAGGTTCAATCTCAGCCCCAGTCATGGTATAAGTTACAGAGGAGGCCCAGTTAAGTAACCCTACCCCAGTCTCAGCCTCTACCACAGACCTCTCAGTTTTGTATCTTCACACTCTGATCTTTCAGTGATTCAGGTGGTAGAGCTGGAAACAAATGTTAGAGTCAATCACTAGTCCATCAGTCAATCAACCTCCTTCCGAAGCCTAGCCTCGGTCAGTATCACAGACAAAGTGCAGAAAAGGCCCAACCAAGGTGGGGGACGATGGATGTTCCTGGGTGGGTGCAGACCTGTTGAGGGTGGTGGTCAGCAGCAATTCCAACACCACCAGAGCTGCCACTGGAGGTGGATCTAAGGAAAGAGAATGACATGGGGCTTTGAATCTCTTCCAACTGCATCACCCCATGCAGAGAGTCACAGAGACTGGACCTTGAATGCTTAGTGGGACAGTTGAACTATTAGAAAGTCTTTCTGTCACCCTCATTTTACCTCACACATTACCCCCAAGAGTTGCCACGTTATTTTGCCTGCTACAAAACAAGTGTGAGGTTACTGGGAAAGTGGGTTCCCAATGGGAAAGGCTGAGGAGACCCCAGACTAGACCCTAATCACTCTTGGACCAGTGTTGATCTCTACTTCCCCACCCAAATTTGTACCCACTTTCATACCAACCTGCACGGATATGGTGCAATTTCTCCCTCCTTGCTTTGTTTCAGTGGTATTAAGCCCTATAGCAGAAAGCAGGCTGTCCTGAGGAGAAGTAAACATACAGGAGAAAATGAAGTCTGAATATTTGGTTGACAGACACACTGATCCCTGATGTAAACATGTTTCGGTTTAAAGATCTAACTTGTCTAATTTTTCCTGTCTCATGGTCCCTGCTTTCAGGTCTTCTCCTCCCATTCACAGCCCAATCCACACCTACCCCAGTATTCCTAGTATCTCCTGCAGGAAATGGACAAGGGATGCTGTGGCAGTGTGCAAATCTGGCAGCAAGCAGGAGAGGTGGAGGAGGTCCTGGACCCACTTGGATCAAAGACACTTGCCATGATCTTACTCTATAGTGCTCCCCTGATTTACCCACCTTCACACCAACCTCCAGAGATCTGAACCAGTCTCCTCCTCCTTCCCTTCCTCACAGAAGTGAGCAGCTTTAAAGCAGGCCTATGGACAAACAGATGAAAAAGCATGACAGTCAGGAGACCATGGTAGCAACTGAGCTCTGGGTGGACCCACAAACACCAAGGAAGGGAGTCCACATATTTGTTTTTCAAACATGTAGAGTCCTCTTGGTAGAATATTCTCATTTTATATAAGGTCTACTTCAGAGTTCCCCAGACAACGACATCTTCTCTTGACGTCACACTCTTCACACTGCTCCTTTCTCCAATTCTAAGGATTCACCACTAGGTGCACCACATCCCACTGCCTTGCGCAGCATAAATTGGGGGAAGGGTTCCCGCATATTCTAGAAAACAGGTTGTGCAGTGGCAGTTGTAATTATGACTTGTGTCTCACCCTCACCTCCTAGCCCATCTTTTCCTACCACGAATTTTCGGTGGAGGTGAGGGACGAAGGCGAGGCAAGTGCTTAGAAAGCTAATACAAAGGGGAATTTTAGAAGGTATTCCTGGACGCCTGACCTGACATGGTCCCAGTCACCCCACCCCAATTCAGCTTTCCACTCAATGGCTGCTGCCCATCCCCCCCTAGCCCCACACACCTCCAGAAATCCAGGCCATTGTCCTGCTCCTCCTTTTTCTCAAGCCTCTCCTCTACAGATACACCCTGCGGGAGGAAACCGCCAGACCTACCGCGCAGAGAGAAGACTTTGGCATCAACCAGGCACCTGTGGGAAAGGACAGCGCCCAGGGCCCGGGACCCAACAGGCCCCTTTCCAGAATCAGGGCCCGGAATAACCGACGCCACCGGCCACCCGCTCCCCGCCAGCTGGGCACAGAGCTCGGACGCCATCTCCCCCCCCGCCCCCCGCCCCGGCGGCCTCCCTGGGCGCCCCCCACCCCAGCTCCCACTCCGCCATTTCTTCCGCAGCAGCCTCCCCCCACAGCTCTCTCCCGGCACGGGCACCGTCGACGGCGGGTCGCGGGCGCCTGGAAAGCTGGCCGCGGAGTGGCGGGCGCAGTTCGCCTCCAGAGGATCCGAGGGAGCCTCTCCGGCCAGCCGCGGTGCCCTGGGCCCGGCCCGCGCCAGTCGCCGCCTCTCCTCGCCAGGGGTCCCGCGGCGCTGCGCACCTCTCTGAGGGACCAGCTCAGGGACCGGGTCGCCTCCTCCTGGCCAGGCTGCCAGGGTCTGGGGTCCGGGAAGGCTGGAAGCCGGGCGACAGTGGGGGTCCCCCCGCCTCCCCCCACGACACCCCCACTTGCCTTCACAGGCTCAAGGTGCAGGTCGTTGGCCTCCCCCCTCCTCTCGGCGCTCTTCACTCGGATTCCCACCGCCTTGCGTGCGGCCAGAATCGCAAAGAGGTGTCCCGCCCCCCGCGCCGCTGCACCAAACTGGGCAGGGGCTGCGCAGGATGCGGCACGAAACGCTCGCGGCGAGGGTGTCGGGAAGGGGGGCGGAGGGATACGGCACGAATGGGCTCGACGCCCCCTCCCCGGCCCACCCTAGTTCCGACCCAGAGGGGGCGGGGCCGGGAGGAGCCCCAGCCTAAGGGGCGGGTTCACAGCAGCGCGCCTCTGCGGACCTCCGCGGCGACCACCCCCTCATTGCTGGCCCTGCAACCCATGGGACCCCGCGAGGGTTGGCGGTGGGGGCTAGGACCCAGAGGTCGGGGGCGGCGGGGCGGGGAAGGTGCGCTGCCGGCAGCAGCGGATGGATATCAGTCGCCCCTCGGTGTGTGAGAGGCCCCCGACTGTTCAGTGTCTGTCCACCTCTCTCTCCCCCGTTCTGTCCACCATCCTAACTGGAGGCCGGTGGGCCAGGGCCTGTCAGGACAGCAGGCTGCGAGGGGAAAGGCGACCTAGGGCCACACTGCCCCGGAGGTTCTGGGGTGGGTGGCCGTCCCACGTTCTTCCTTCTCTGCTTCGCGGGGCCACTGAAGGGAGGAAGGTGGGAGGGGGCCCCCACGGAGGCCTCACCACTGCGCCTTTTCTAAAGGAAGGCAGACCTACACCCCTACCCCGAGAAAACCAACCACTGCTCTGCCTCCATTCTTTCTGCCACACTGCTGTTTTCCCCCCATTCAAACTGGCAACATGCTTTTGCCATTTCGCAGTCCCCACAGTTGCCCACAGAGGGCCTTTTTTCGCCAGGCACGACCCACACTGGGTCCTAGGATATTTCCTGTCTGTTGCCCCCATGGCCAGGGGTCGGGCTGGTCCTGGCTCTTCTTCAACTGCCCTGTCTATCAAGTCTTCTCTTGCAGTCACATCCAAGCTCTCATGATCTTTGGCCGTGTGGAAATGTGGCAGGGAGTAGAACCAGCTTGGATCTCAGCCACTTGCCATACATACCTGTCTAGTTTCCCCAGACATTCTTTGGAGGAAGACCCCATCATGTACCTACTTCCCAAGACAGCACCTGGTGGTTTTTGAATCCTCTGATTCCTTTACCCCTACATCCTTCCTCTAGTCTTGAGCCCTTCCTTTCTGTGCTCCATGGGGCAAACAGAGCAACGTGTTTAAGCACGACTGTGGTTGAGCACCAACCTGCTGGTGCCCATTTTAAACCCAATTAAATGCCACTTTCACTGTGATAGGCTGAATAAAGGTCCCTCAATGATGTCCACATCCTATTCTCCAGAACCTGTAAATATGTGATGTTACAGGGCAAAGGAGAAGTAAGATTGCTGACCGAATTAAGATTGCTCATCAGCTGAATTTAAAATAAAAATATGCTGGGTCTCTTCCCGGCCAATGTAATTACAAAAGTACTTCAAATGTGGAAGAAGTAGGCAGGAGAGTCAGTGTCACATCAAAGTAGCATGAGAAAGACTGGATAGGCCATTGCTGGCTTTGAAGATGAAACAAAGCCAGGGCCCAAGGAATGCAGGCAGCTTCCAGAAGCTGGAATAGGCAAGAAAAGCAGATTCTCCCTAGGATCCCTCAGAGAATTGAAGCCTGACCATCACCTTCATTTCAGACCAATGAGGTCCTTTTTGTATTCCCAACATCCAGGGCTGTAAGCTAATACATTTGTGTTATTTTGAGTCGCCAAGAATGTGGTAATGTGTTACAGCAGCAGTAGGAACTAAATTTACTCACCATCTTGACTTGAAAGTCCATCCCCCTTGACTTACTTTACTTGGCCTTCAACCCCTGGGAAGATCAATTCCGGGGGCTCATCTCTGACCCCTATAACCACCTTCTCCAGCAATCCCCTGTCTCTGTTTTCTAAAGAACAGAGACTTTTGCAATGGCCTTTGAGGTTCATCTTGGACAAAGTCCCCATTTGCTGAAAATCACTGATGGTTTTGAGGATGAAAAGGGAACTATAATTTTACCATGAATTTTCATATATTTTCATTTCAGCTTTTATTTGTTTTTAAACATTTGTTATAACTATGCAATATTTAGGTGATAAAAAACCATCTGGAGATGATTCTATACAGTATCTGGACTGACAATGGATGTCAATTATCAGAGGAGGGCTGCTTTTACTGTGCTGTTTAAATGGCTTTAGCTGAACTGTGGATCACTTTTTTCTTTATTCCACAGCATACTATCTTGGGTGAATGCCAGGCTTGAAGAAGGGAGTCTGAGCTCTGCTGGGATCTGTGGGTGTGTGCGAATCTCCTTGCCTCCCTGAACTGTTCTTTCACTTTTTTAAAGTCTCTGGTGCCTTTCCATTCATTCAAGAAATACACATGAATACCTTCTTTATCCTAGGCACTGGAGATATGGTAGAAACACAAATGAAAGAAATCTCTGTTCTTGTGGAAGCTACATTTACTTGTAGTTTCTTCCTTATTCAAATTCTTATCCTAGAATTTTATGGTCATACCAGCATAATGTTGTCTGGTAATTCTCAAGGTGATCCAGTATTGAATCCAAGATATTTACTGACAGGGGAGTGGACCTACCACAAGCTGAGAGAGTACACTATGAAAATTTGAAATTTTGTTGGACAATTTGTTCTCAATTCATTTACTGAACAGGCCCTATGGCTGTTTAATAGTTATTAAACTGAGAAAAGTCCTCTTTTAAGCTCTGCACGTGTTAGCACTTTATGTGTATATATCAGATTACTTAAATGTCATCTTTAATATCGGAGAGCATATAAAGGATTGAAACAGGATGCTGACCTATGTCTTTGTGGCTGCTAAGTAAGTCTATTTACTTCCTTCTAAAATGGATTCTGGTCTGATTACAACAGCCATAGTTTCACTCCCCAGTGTCTCCACTAGCACCTGTATAACACTGACTAGCCTCTGAAATCTAAATTTCTGTAGTGTAAGTACTTGCCATTGAACTTTTGATTGCCAAGGCATCCACTTCAAAAGACATCCATTATACTATATATAGAAAACTCTAAATAGTCCAGCAAGAATGGTTAGAACTGATAAAGAAATTCAGTAAAGTCAAAGGATACAAAATCAATGTATGGAAATCTTGCATTACTATATAGCAATAATGAAGCAGCAGAAAGAGAAATTGTGAAAACAATCCCATTTACAATTGTACCAAAATAATAAGATACCCAGGAATAAACCTAACCAAAGATGTGAAAGACCTGTACTCTGAAAACTGTAAAACACTGATGAAAGAAGTTGAAGACAACATGAAGAAATGGAAAGAAATTCCATGCTCATGGATTGGAAGAACAAATATTGTTAAAATGTCTATACTACCCAAAGCAATCTACACATTTAATGCAATCCTTACCAAAATACAACAGTAATCTTCACAGAACTAGAACAAACAATTCTAAAATTTGTATGTAACCATAAAAGACCCCAAATATCCAAAGCAACCTTGAAAAGGAAAAGCAAAGCTGGAGGCCTCATAATTCTGGACTTCAAGTTATATTACAAAGCTATAGTAGTCAAAACAGTATGGTATTGGCACACAAATAGACACATAGAGCAATAGAACAGAATAGAAAACCCAGAAATAAACCCATAACTATATGGTCAATTAATCTTCAACAAAAGAGGCAAGATTATCCAGTGGGAAAAAGATAGTGTTTTCAAAAAATGGTGTTGGGGGGGCGCCTGGGTGGCTCAGTCGGTTAAGCGTCTGCCTTCAGCTCAGGTCATGATCCCGGGGTCCTGGGATCGAGCCCCGCATCGGGCTCCCTGCTCCGCGGGAAGCCTGCTTCTCCCTCTCCCACTCCCCCTGCTTGTGTTCCCTCTCTCGCCGTCTCTTTCTGTCAAATAAATAAATAAAATCTTTAAAAAAAAAAAATGGTGTTGGGAAAACTGGACAGCAACATGCAAAAGATAGAAACTGGATCATTTCCTTTCATCATATATAAAAATAAGTCCAAAATGGATTAAAGACCTAAATGTGAGACCCGAAACCATAAAAATCCTAGAAGGGAACACAGGTAGTAGCTTCTCTGACATCGGCCATAACAAGTTTTTTCTAGCTAGGTCTCCTGAGGCAAGAGAAACAAAAGCAAAAATAAACTATTGGGACTACATCAACATAAAAGGTTCTGCACAGCAAAGGAAACAATCAACAAAACAGAATGGGAGAATACATTTGCAAATGACATATCCAATAATGGGTTAGTATCCAAAATAGATAAAGAACTGATACCACTCAACATCTAAAAAACAAAAAATCAATTAAAAAATGGGCAGAAGACATGAAAGGATGTAGAGA